TTAGCAGAAAAATATAACCTGCATGCTACTGAAGGTGAGAGGATTAAGCTCCTAATTACTCGAAAATCTGTAGTACTTAATTTCTTATAGAAGGTCAAAGTGGAATTGAAAATGAGTAGCTGTCAAACAGACAACCAGATAAAGTTGTTAGAGTTTCACGAAGATAAATATGAAATGAAAAATCACTAAACTCAAGTACAAAAGGAATGTTTGTTTCAAGCTACCTTTACTTATCCTTTAGATGAAAAGGTTTTTAAGATTTTTAAATGGTTTCAAATGATGGTGTTTTACCTAAATCGGTAGCACTGTAGACTTGAAACTGTTTGTAGATAGGTATTTATTTTCCTCTAAATGTTGTAGGTAGGGAATTATTTTCCTTTGAAGGAAGTTTATATTAATATTTAAGGGAATTTTGCAACTTCTGTTCATTAATTGTAGAAAATGCCCAAGTGCCTATGAAAAAAATGCTAATGGTATTGATATTTCATCCTGAAGGGTCTCAAAGCAATTTACGGATCGGTAGTATAACCACCCTGAAATGCACCCAGCTTTGTGGTGGAACATGGCAGCTGTTTAATAGCCCAGAGCAAAACTACACAACAGCAGGTTGTGGAAAAAGAGACGGATATGGATCAAATACAAATTGGCATTTAAGGATTTGAGGTAGTGTGCTCAAATTAAAGTTCGGTGAAGAGGTGTTCCACTGGAATCTTGAGCCCGTGTAGGAAGTGTGCTACGCTGGGTCTGACCACAGCTCCGTGTACGAGATGCTCTGGTTAGCCCACGTGAAAGACAGACAGGGGACTGTACGCCGAAAGGTAGCCCCTGATGTATGCTGGAGACCGATGGGTTTGACAAACAAATTTAATTGTGAATACTTTGCTGTTTGCGCTTGCAAAGGGGTTTATTAAAAGCATTTGATGTTAAAATGGGTGCCTGAGGGAGAGCTTGGGCAGATGTGGCAACAGATTTTGATGGGGGTGGCAAAAGTTTTGGCTTGACTGCTTAGTTTTAGTAATTACTTTTTTAAAAAATTGAATGCTACCAGAGAAGGCTGTGTTGCTAACAGCTGCCTGAGCTGTGATGACTGAGAGGTGGATTTTTTCATATGTGTAGAGCATTTATTTACTAGGAAAAAGAGTAAACCCAGAAAGGCAACAAGGTGCTACCAGCCAACAATTCCCTTAGGTCGCTGTTGGCCTGAACTGAGTTTTGACCTGTGTGACCTGTGACTGAGGCTGTATGATCTCTGGGTCTAGCACATCTCATTGCAACTTTTTTTTACCATTTTCCATACAATACATGAAGGTCTGCAAACTTTTTTTTGCTCTAGGGAAGTGTACGGAGGTCCAACTGCACCATAGATCTCTGCAACACATGCCCAATTTAAAAGGAGCAAACACGACTCGAACAATTTTTCATGTGCTTTAGTATGCATGTATGTATTTATTTATTTATTTGGATAATTGGGTTTTCCCTCGGCTAAGGAAAAGCTGGTGTTGCTGACATTACAATGTGTTTGTGAAGAAAGACTGATACCACAACACATGCGAGCAACTGCAAGGTCATTACTTACCCAGAATAATTAGAACATCCATTCTGAAGGGGGAAAACATTTAAAAGATAAAGAGAGAATTTAAAAATGATTCTTCTCAATGCATTTTTTTCATAATTATAGTTTTAACAGCTTGTGGTGATGGTAGAAGCAGCTACTTCAGAAAAATTAGAAGTCTCATTCGGGGAAGATGATCCCTCAAGAGACCTTGTGTTGTCATTTCTTAAGAACCGCAAGCAGAAACCTCATTCAGGATGCCGGGTGTTGTTTTGATGTATGGGGGGTATACTTCGCTTGTTATGGCTGATGCTGGATATTTTAATTAAAAAACACCACAACAGCCACAGATGTATCGTTTCCCCCTTATTCCTCCCCTTGTCTGTGTGCAAAAACACGAGCTTACTCCCACCCCTGAACTGCATGGAACAAATACCATAGCAGACAGGCAGAAGAGAAGCAATAAGTTTCCTAAATTCATGTAGGGCATATCTTAGCATCAAAAATCTCATTGCAGCATGCGAGCTTTTTGGAGTTCTCCAAGTTTCCTGCAGTTGCCAAAGGGAGGTGGTAAATGGAGAGGGAAAACAAAAAGAACCAACCAGTCACCGCATTTAATTTATGAGCAAGATTATTGTTTTACAAGTAACCTTCGTGATAAATAAAGTCTCGTGGCAACATTTTCAGCCGTGCTTTTATCGAGGCTCTCGGAGCGGTGTGGGTAATACGCCTGGCAATCGAATCACAGCTGTGTGCCCGGGTAGGGAATATCTGCGGAGACAACACTTCCTTAATTTAAACAATTGTAGGCTGCAGGAGTTCAAAAATTTCAGCTGACTTTAACTGTCACTAGCCCAAGCACCTTTATCCCCAGGCGAGCAGCAGCAGCTGGATTTCATTTCCCGCTGCCAGACTGTCCGACATCTTTGCTGAGCATCCCGGGAACCGAGCGTCTTTACTTTAAGGATTTTATTCAAGGTGACAGCTCCTCACACTTTAGCGTTCAGATCACCTCAAGTAGCTGAGAGATCAGTGAAAATGAGAGCGCTTCTCCAGCAAACTCCAAATTTAGATTGACTGAGGTTATCCTTAGGCCTTGAGCCAGCCTCCACGACAGCACGGGCCTGCCAGTAACTTTAAAACTACAGCGGAGTTTGTGATGATGTCTGGGGAGAAATATTCTGCCGCAGCAGCGGAGGATACTATAAGCGATAGGAAATGATGTCAGATTTCGTTAGGGCTGGAGACAGTGTTAGAATATACTTGGCATAATATGGCACCGGTATCTCTGTCAGCATCTCTGTTTTCTGTCAGCGCGCACAATCCTGCGCCTGTCTGTAGCCCTGACAGCATCTTCTCAGATCAGGTTCTTGCCAGCCCGGCGACGGGCTCAGCGCAGCACCATACAGCCCCCTTTGTTTGAAGTCTGCCCTTTTGTCATTAATGTGCTTAATGTCTATTTAAATCTGACGGTGAATGCAGTATCTGTTTTCCTGTCAAGAGATCATTGACAATATTAATACCTCGTGTCCTTGCCTCATTTTCTAAGCGCTGACACCTAGCTACAGTCTCCAGCATTCATCAGACAGCACTCTCTCACCGGCATCTCTGTAAACAGTCTTGCTTCCAGTCCTGAAGAAACGCGGCAGACCTCAAACAAGGCTTTTATCGAGGCCAGTGAAAAAGGAGGCTGAAGAATGCCATTAATAAACTGTTCGTATCCTTTGCATTTAGAGCTCTAAACGGCCTCGTTACCAACCTAATGCCGGCTGCGGTTTGCCTTGGAATATCGTCTGCTTGGGGGGGGGCGAGAAAAACCCCTTGCTTTTCATTAAACGCTTGTTTAGGAATGATAACATCGTACCCTGCATGTGGAAACTGCTCCATCAGTGAAATTATTGAAATTGAAGTTATTGAGGAAAGCTCCGTGGAGGAGGGGAGAGGGATCAGGCACTGCACCGTAGAGTCCCTATTTGCTTTGCCCTGAAGAGGAATGTATTTTTCACCACAAATGACAGGCCTATCAATTTATTTTTTATTTTTTTTCCGTAGGAACATGTTACGATCCTGATGTCTTAGAAGGAAAGAAGAGCACAGGTTAACGTTAATCTTGCACAGCTCATGCCTTCCAAGGCTTTAGTTTCTTATCTGATGCACGTTATACTGGAAAAACAGACGCAGAATAGCAAAGCTTGCGTACTTAATTCATACTGCAGGTGAGCACGGTATTTGCCGTGCGAGTCCCGGAAAGCTAAAGCAGCAGTGAATTGAGGATCTGCTCCTCCCCCCTCTTTACCCTTTCTGTGAGGCAGTGCTTGTCTCCTTTGGGCGAGGTTACGTCTGTCCTTATGGGGCGAGCTGGGTTCTCCAGCGGCTGATGCGTGAAGACACTCCCAAGGTAGAAGAGACTCTTTCACCTTCCTAACGTGCACGGGAGATGACTTTAATTCAACTGCATGTGCCTGGGGGTGTAAAGAACAACTCTGCTAGTAAAATTTAGCATCTTAGAGGATGTTCACAGGTGGGATGTGACTGTGAACTTACGCTTTCACCTACCGCTTAGTACCACCAGAGGGGATGCTTTTGAATAAGGCAGTGAGATCTGCAGGTACGCATGTCTCGCCCGCAGCGGTGAAGGCTTCCTCGGGCATCTTGCCACCTGCACCCACGGAGAATAATGTGCCTTGTCTCCCAAGAGCAGCGTTCTGGCTAATTTTTGAACGCATCCTCTACGTACTGCTATTTAGCGTAATTTATAATTGCATCTTGCTGATGGGATGTTGTTTGGAGAGCTGCTGTGGAAATGTGTTTATTTGTATGTCGGGGAAAAACACTGGAGTCTGGAGGGCTAACTGTTAGGGAGTCCCAAGTTCTAGCCTGTGCCGGTCGATGACTTCACACACAGATCTCGCCTGGTCGCCTCCGTTCTCTGTCACCGCAAAGCAGGGATGGCTTCAGGTGCTTGCGGGACGATGTCATGAAGGTTTGAAAGGTTCTTCCCTGGGTCCACATTAAACTGTAACCATTTTCTGCTCTTCTCTTTTTACTTTTAATCATGAGGGAAACCCTGTAAATGTAGCAGGAAGATGACAGAGAGTACAAAATGTAACTTCAAGCCAGACTTTCTGGTTTTCAGAAGCAGGGGAGAGGTACTGTGTATTAAAATACGGTGTATGCTGTTCCGGTGTCATGTCATTCCGTTCTTGAAGACACTTGTGGAAGTGTCTTTAACAGGATAGGTCATGTGGGTATTTGGACAGGTTTTCCCAGTGGATTCAAAACTGCTGACTGAAATGATGATACTGAGTATTTCAAAAGCACAAACTTTCATTTGCAGGACAAGAGAAAATTCTTCCCTTCCCTCCTTCAAATATCCCTAGTTATGTGCTGTCTTTGCGTATTATGGCACTGCCGTCCTAATTGTAATAAATTTTCCTTTTTATTGCAGGCATTTTGGGAAAATGCCGCTACATTTACTATGGAAAACATTCTGAGGGCAACAGATTCATCCGAGACGACCAGCTATAAAACACAGCGGTGTTTTGTGCCCCTTCAATCCCTCCACGTGAGAAGCATAAATTGCATCTAAATTTGAAGCATGTAACTGAAGTCCTCTAGTGCCTTCTGCTGACTTTGCCAAGCCTGTCAAGATCGCCCTTCCATCGGAGTCTGAGTAGTCACACAGAGATTGACGTGATTGCCTGTAAGCGGGTCCCATCCACCAGTGTGACAGACAGCTGCGGCCGAGCACCCAGCCTGACAGGAGGAGCACCATGATGGATTGCCTGGTCCAAGTGCTGCTCGCAGAAGAGCAGGGGTCACACCTGGGGCTTCAGCGAGCATGCTCCGTCGGTTGGTGCCTCGGCAGCGGCAGCGCGTTTATCTCCCCCTTGCCTGTTGAGCAAAAGTGGCTGGCGATAGCAAAGTGTTTATAAAAGAGAGAGGCTATAATTCCAGATGAAAAAGCCCTTATCTGTGCTTATTATTTCCCTGTGAATTAAGTGCTTGCGTTTCTATCATCTCATACGTGCTTACACAAATCATTTCACAGTGCTTCTTTTTTCCTGTTTGGTGTCCTCCCTCCTAAATGAGCCCAGATGGATTATTTTTTTTCTTTCAACAGGGGGAAAAAAAATATATCCTGAAAATATTTCAGCCATGCAAAGTACTATCAATGGGTATCATTGTTTATATGCAAAGGAAAAAGATTTAAACAATTTTGCAGACAAACAAAATTTGCTAATTCTTGAATTACTTCTCAACCTTTACTAACTCTGACCTTGAGAAAAGCAATCATTTCCTACTGGTGTAGAATAGTGGCACAGCGTAACTGCACACACTTGGACGAGACCCTCAGTTGTGATATTGACAGCCTGTATTATTCCCAGTTTATTGCACAAGATATTTTTAACTTGTACAGAGGTTACATTTAGAATTAAAAGCTTAAATTTGTAAAGAAAAAAGTGCTTTGAAAGAGTGATATAAAATTAAAATTGCCACCAGATGGGTATGTTTATTCAGAGGGGAAAAGTAACTGATGGAATTAACGTAATTAACAACTTTACTAATATGTTCTAGAGAAGCATTCTGATTACTCCCTTTTGATGTCTGTGTAAGAAAGGCTATTGTCAAATTTTCAGTGGAAAAAATAAAAATGCACAGCCTATTTCCTGCATCTCTGAGGCACCACTACTTGGTGGTCTTTATTCACTTTCCTGGCTGAAAAAAAAGTCAATTTTTAGGAGTTGCCTGCTTTGGGGGGCAATTATCAGTTAGTGTTGCAGGTGAAAGTGGGCTGGATATTGAAGCCAGTCATGAAATCAGGTTTGACCGATGAAAAAGAATAGAACACTGGCAGAGTGACAAAGGAAAGCTTGCTGCTGCCGAACATTTTAGGCATTACTTAGTAAGTGGAAGTCTTCGCTCACTCTGAAAGCCTATGATAAATCTTTAACAGATGGGTAAAATAAGTGATGAGCACAGAACGAATCCAGTTCACAGCACCTGTGGTTCAGTTTGAGATGTGAGCTCTCTGCCGTAGAAATTGATGTCTAGAAAGCGCGCTTTGGCCACTTGTCATGCCTCTGCTAATGTCAGAGATGGCTACAAATGAAATGCCAATTCAGGTTAGAAGTCCTCGGAGATATTAGATAAAGGAAAACTACATGCCTCTTTTTTTTACTCAAAAATATCATTAGAAATATTGAGGGCACTTGTCGTCTCACTTGGCTACCAAAATAACAGCAATCCTAGTTTGTTCCTATCATATTGTCTGCTTTGAAACCTCTACACGCTTTGGCCATGGCATATCACAGGCAGCAGGGTTGGAAACAGGGGTGTTTAGAATAACCTAATGTCACTTTCAGTCTCGTTGCATATATGTTCTTGTCTTTAGAAAAGGCTTTAACCCTGCCTCAAACAATAAACAGCACTTGCAAACTGACCGCATGATTTTTCCATCTTTATTTTGCTTGTTTACTTTTCCTAATGTCAAAACCGTTTGTATCATTTTCAGGAGTGTTTTCTGTCCAGCAAAGCTTTGGAGGCAAAAATATTTTTGGAATGAGATGTGATCAAAGTCTCTTTCATTTTGGTTTTTGTTTTAACTCGAGGGATTATATATCTACAGTTAAATATGGTAAAGCCCTAATTAAAATCTACTCAAAGGGAATTCATGCTAAATGTCACTGATTCTGGAAAATCAAAAGGATAACCTATGAACGATTATTTTATATTACTAACACATCTTAGGATAGTATTTAAAAACAAGCATGAATGTTTTGTACTGTTTATGCTAACATCATTCTTTTTGAAGATGCAGAGCATTTTGTTTTCAGATATCTTCTACTGAAGTTCTGTTTCAAGAGACAGCCAACTTTCAAACCTGGGGCTGCTGTCTGCACTTGGTTCTTTCCTCAGTGGGAACTGCCGTTGAATTTCTTAAATGAATTTCTTAACTGAACCAAGTATCATTTAGGATGAAAGTTGCAGTAAAGTAATCCAAGAAGAGATTCCACTCTCCTTCCTTTACTCTTTCCAGGCACCCACTGCATTCTCAGTTCTTCGTGTTGTCACAAGAAAAATTTTGGCCAACCATGTTTCTTGACAGTTAAGAAGGTTTGAGATCCAAGGTGTGCTTCAAATCTTCAAATACTAAAGTTTTTTTTATAAAATATCCAAACTTCAGTCTTATGTTCCGTCTTGTGATGGCCAGTACTTTGGCTTTTGGCACATACCACATGTCTTCACAAATGAAGACTAGGAGGTGAGTGGTTTTACTAGGAGCTGCCTGTAGTAGCTGTGCTTAGCACATTCCTAACTTTATGTATTGAAAATGTTAATTCCTAACCTCTTAATTAAAAATAAGAAAAAAATACAGACTGCAATATTGAAGTGGAATTTTAAAGATAAATGACCTTCAGTGGAAATCCTACTGTTAAGGATACACAGAGCTAACTTTAGAGCAAGCTGGCTCTAATTGCATATGTTGCATGCATAAATGATTTATGGGATTGCTGAAAGTATGTTATCACTGAAACCACTTTTTTCTTCTTTATTAGGGCTGAGTCTCACAATACTTATTCTAGTATTTGCTTCACACCGTGAGTCCCTTTGAAGTCAATGTCATTATCCCTGAGCGTTAGGGTTACTGGCTGGTATGCAGCTCCCTTTTTAATGTATTTGGTTCTTTGCACAGAGCATTACGCGATTGCTGAATGTTCGACACTCACATCATCTTTGCAGATGAAAAACCACTGTGTGTTGGTCTAATGTTGCTCCTATTTAAGTCAGAAGAAACAAACCTGTCTGTGCTTTTGAAAATTCTTTCTGTAAATTACAGGGTTCACTTGGTGCCAGTAGATGTATTCATACTTTTTATTTCTGCCAGCAATATGAGTAGGTTGGGAAATGTTTACCCCCAGCAGAACTGTGCTAGATGCAGCCTTTGTGGTGGGGTTCTGAATCAGCCCATTTTATACTGGCTCACACGGAGTCTTACCACATATTTCTTCTTTATGTGGTGTGATAGTTGGCACACGGGTCTCTGCTTGCCCAGTTTGGGAAAGTTTATTGTTTTTACTCTGGGTACAACCGTCTGTCTTTCTGCTTTGTTAAATGGTTGGCAGATGTGAAAGAAAGAGATGAAATTCAGCTTTCCAGAGGTGTAACCATATAGCCAAGATTGAGGCTATATGTTTGGCACTTCAGATTTCCAAGTCTCCATTTGCAGGTTCAGTCTGGGGAGTCTGACAGTGAATTGGGCGATAGGAAGTCAGGGGTCCTGCATGGCTTGCTGGCTGTTGTCCTCTGTTCCGAAAGATCTCTGGCTGTGTCTTTGCTTCAATTGCCATGTTATTGCTCTGTGAGCAACTGATGGCACGAAATAGGTAAGTGCTCCCCTTTTGTTTTCGAAGTGAAATTTCTGCTTCATTGCTTGTAATATAACAACTGAAATGCATAGTTTGCTTTTGCAGTGTTTTTATACGTACACTTGGTAACCGTTACATCTCACTGGCCAGTCTTTTTCTGCTATTTAGTTAAAAATCTGTTTTCTGCATTCCTTTGTGCTGCTAGTCATGGGAATAAAACAAAACAAACAAGATATGACTGTGAGAAAACAACCATCCAGAGATGTTACTGTGGGATCATGCTTGTTCTAACAACTCTGTGTGACAGGTGGGCATCGTTATACACAAGGACATCTAAATGGCTTGAAGGAACGAGATGTCTTCTGGTTTGGAGCCCTCTTGGAGTTAGCCTGTGACTGTGATTCCCTTATGCCACTCTAGCAGTGTTAGGTGGTTAGAGAATGTTGTCTTACCTAAAATGAGCTAATGCTAACGCTCATTTTACTTCTAATACTATCCGAATAACCTACTGAGATCTTGGATTATATGAGAGTTAGGCCCAAGAAAAATGGCTTCTTCCAATCATTTGTAACCTGTTCTTAAGAAGTCTTAGGAGTATTTTCTTTGGCATTGGTTATGTGTGAATGTTCAGGATATACTCAGCACTCCTACTTCATCAAAGCTGGTTGAATTAACATTTTTTTTCCATATGCAGTACTAACGCAGCTGAATCTTTTTGAAAGTTACCTTTTATGTTAGGTGACTCTGATGGACTTGCCTCTGGTGGTGTTGTCAACCTGAAGCTGACCCTTCCTTAGAGTTGCTGACAGTTAGATTAAGGTTTCAGATCAGGATTTTCACAAGCCTTCAAGGAGCAGATATTTTTAAGGACAAGCTAAGTCGTGGTCATGGCACATTCACAAAATATCATCATCATCTCAGCATCCTCAGCATTTTAAGGGAACATTGTCTTGGAAAATATGTTTAGTTCTAAGTTAGTTTTGTTCGTAGGCTTTAACATAAAATACATTCTGTGTTATCACATCACATGCAATGTTTGGGCTGTGAGAGCAAGTTCCTAAATCTGTTCAAAACATCCTCCCAACACGTTTAAAATTTCTTGCAAGTATTTTGCATTCTGATTGAAAGTTTTGCTGGCAATACAAAAATAAAACTGTC